TGGGTTGATCACACTGTGGGTGGAACACACAGTGGGTTGAACACACGGTGGGTTGATCACACGGTGGGTTGAACACACCGTGGGTGGAACACACGGTGGGTTGAACACATGGTGGGTTGAACATACGGTGGGTTGATCACACGGTGGGTTGATCACACGGTGGGTTGATCACACGGTGGGTTGATCACACGGTGGGTTGAACACACGGTGGGTTGAAAACACGGTGGGTTCAACACACGATGGGTGGAATACACGGTGGGTTGAACACACGGTGGGTTGAACATACGGTGGGTTGATCACACGGTGGGTTGAACATACGGTGGGTTGATCACACGGTGGGTGGAACACACGGTGGGTTGAACACACGGTGGGTGGAACACACGGTGGGTTGAACACACGGTGGGTTGAACACACGGTGGGTTGATCACACCGTGGGTGGAACACACGGTGGGTTAAACACATGGTGGGTTGATCACACGGTGGGTTGAACACACGGTGGGTGGAACACACGGTGGGTTGAACACATGGTGGGTGGAACATACGGTGGGTTGATCACACGGTGGGTTGATCACACGGTGGGTTGATCACACGGTGGGTTGAACACACGGTGGGTTGAATACATGGTGGGTTGAACACACGGTGGGTTGAACACACGGTGGGTTGAACACACGGTGGGTTGAACACACGGTGGGTTGAACACACGGTGGGTTGAACACACGGTGCGTTGAACACACGGTGGGTTGAACACACGGTGGGTTGAACACACGATGGGTTGAACACACGGTGGGTTGAACACACGGTGGGTTCAACACATGGTGGGTTCAACACACGGTGGGTTCAACACATGGTGCGTGGAACACACGGTGGGTTGAACACATGGTGGGTTGAACATACGGTGGGTTGATCACACGGTGGGTGGAACACACGGTGGGTTGAACACACGGTGGGTGGAACACACGGTGGGTTGAACACACGGTGGGTTGAACACACGGTGGGTTGATCACACCGTGGGTGGAACACACGGTGGGTTGAACACACGGTGGGTTGATCACACGGTGGGTTGAACACACGGTGGGTGGAACACACGGTGGGTTGAACACATGGTGGGTGGAACATACGGTGGGTGGATCACACGGTGGGTTGATCACACGGTGGGTTGATCACACGGTGGGTTGAACACATGGTGGGTTGAATACACGGTGGGTTGAACACACGATGGGTTGAACACACGGTGGGTTGAACACACGGTGGGTTGAACACACGGTGGGTTGAACACACGGTGGGTTGAACACACGGTGCGTTGAACACACGGTGGGTTGAACACATGGTGAGTTGAACATACGGTGGGTTGATCACACGGTGGGTGGAACACACGGTGGGTTGAACACATGGTGGGTTGAACATACGGTGGGTTGATCACACGGTGGATGGAACACACGGTGGGTTGAACACACGGTGGGTGGAACACACGGTGGGTTGAACACATGGTGGGTTGAACACACGGTGGGTTGAACACACTGTGGGTTCAACACACGGTGGGTTCAACACGCGGTGGGTTCAACACACGGTGGGTGGAACACACGGTGGGTTGAACACATGGTGGGTTGAACATAAGGTGGGTTGATCACACGGTGGGTGGAACACACAGTGGGTTGAACACACGGTGGGTTGAACACACGATAGGTTGAGCACACGGTGGGTTGAACACACGGTGGGTTCAACACACGGTGGGTTGAACACAAGGTGGGTTGAACACACAGTGGGTTGATCACAAGGTGGGTGGAACACACGGTGGGTTGAACACACGGTGGGTTGAAGAGACGATAGGTTGAACACACAGTGGGTTTAACACATGGTGGGTTGAACATACCGTGGGTTGAACACACGGTAGGTTTAAGACACGGTGGGTTGAACACACGGTGCATTGAACATTCGGTGGGTGGAACACACGGTGGGTTGAACACACGGTGGGTTCAAAACACGGTGGGTTCAACACACGGTGGGTTCAACACACGATGCGTTGAACACACGGTGGGTGGAACACACGGTGGGTTGAACACACGGTGGGTTGAACAAAAGGTGGGTTGATCACACGGTGGGTGGAACACACGGTGGGTTGAACACACGGTGGGTTGAACACACGGTGGGTTGAACACATGGTGGGTTGAACACACGGTGGGTTGATCACACTGTGGGTGGAACACACAGTGGGTTGAACACACGGTGGGTTGATCACACGGTGGGTTGAACACACGGTGGGTGGAACACACGGTGGGTTGAACACATGGTGGGTTGAACATACGGTGGGTTGATCACACGGTGGGTTGATCACACGGTGGGTTGATCACACGGTGGGTTGATCACACGGTGGGTTGAACACACGGTGGGTTGAAAACACGGTGGGTTCAACACACGATGGGTGGAATACACGGTGGGTTGAACACACGGTGGGTTGAACATACGGTGGGTTGATCACACGGTGGGTTGAACATACGGTGGGTTGATCACACGGTGGGTGGAACACACGGTGGGTTGAACACACGGTGGGTGGAACACACGGTGGGTTGAACACACGGTGGGTTGAACACACGGTGGGTTGATCACACCGTGGGTGGAACACACGGTGGGTTAAACACATGGTGGGTTGATCACACGGTGGGTTGAACACACGGTGGGTGGAACACACGGTGGGTTGAACACATGGTGGGTGGAACATACAGTGGGTTGATCACACGGTGGGTTGATCACACGGTGGGTTGATCACACGGTGGGTTGAACACACGGTGGGTTGAATACATGGTGGGTTGAACACACGGTGGGTTGAACACACGGTGGGTTGAACACACGGTGGGTTGAACACACGGTGGGTTGAACACACGGTGGGTTGAACACACGGTGCGTTGAACACACGGTGGGTTGAACACACGGTGGGTTGAACACACGATGGGTTGAACACACGGTGGGTTGAACACACGGTGGGTTCAACACACGGTGGGTTCAATACACGGTGGGTTCAACACATGGTGCGTGGAACACACGGTGGGTTGAACACATGGTGGGTTGAACATACGGTGGGTTGATCACATGGTGGGTGGAACACACGGTGGGTTGAACACACGGTGGGTGGAACACACGGTGGGTTGAACACACGGTGGGTTGAACACACGGTGGGTTGATCACACCGTGGGTGGAACACACGGTGGGTTGAACACACGGTGGGTTGATCACACGGTGGGTTGAACACACGGTGGGTGGAACACACGGTGGGTTGAACACATGGTGGGTGGAACATACGGTGGGTGGATCACACGGTGGGTTGATCACACGGTGGGTTGATCACACGGTGGGTTGAAAACATGGTGGGTTGAATACACGGTGGGTTGAACACATGATGGGTTGAACACACGGTGGGTTGAACACACGGTGGGTTGAACACACGGTGGGTTGAACACACGGTGGGTTGAACACACGGTGCGTTGAACACACGGTGGGTTGAACACATGGTGAGTTGAACATACGGTGGGTTGATCACACGGTGGGTGGAACACACGGTGGGTTGAACACATGGTGGGTTGAACATACGGTGGGTTGATCACACGGTGGGTGGAACACACGGTGGGTTGAACACACGGTGGGTGGAACACACGGTGGGTTGAACACATGGTGGGTTGAACACACGGTGGGTTGATCACATCAGCATGTTGACTGCTGGTGTACTCCCATACCACTTGGTTTAAGGCACCCACTGCTTGTCCCCCACAGTTGCGAGCACCCGGTTCTTCACAACAACGACCTGCCGCAGTGCAGTCACCCAAAACGGATCCGGCAGCCCTGCACGCCCAAGGAGAGTGCGAGCACCTTCCTGCAGGGTCCGGTTGAACCGCTCAGCCACGCCGTTCTGCTGAGGGTTGTAGGGCACCGTGAGCTGATGCTGGATCCCCTTCTTCTTCAGCACCGCCTCAAAAACAGCGCCAATGAACTCTCCCCCATTGTCGGTGCGGATCACCTTCACTTTGTGTCCGCTCTCCCTTTGTGCTCTCGGCATCCACTCCTTGAGAACAGCCGCTGCCACCTCCCCCTTAGTCTTGAGAGGGTAGACCCACACCGCACGTGTGTGGTCATCCACAATGGTCAGGAAATAGTGGCTGCCCGAGAGAGAAGGGGCCCTCGTGGGGCCCACCACGTCCATGTGCACAAGTGCAAGTCGAGCCTTCGCTGGTCCCATGCTGCTGCTCAAGGGAAACATCGTGAACTTGGTCTCAAGGCATGTAGGGCAGCTCCCAATCTCCCTTGCTGCCCCCTTCACCTCCAATCCCTTCAGGTTCCCATCCTTCACCAATTTCTGCAGCATCGGAATGTTGATGTGGCACAACCTCTCGTGCCACGTCTCCCAATCGGCCTCACCACTCCCAGATGAAGCCTTTGCCCATGCAGCCGTTGCATCCACACCAGCAAGCACCTCACCATGTAATTGCTGTGGCTGCTGCACCTTCTTGACTGCATCCAGGGCCCCAGCAGTTGGTGCAGTCTCCTCTCCTCCCGCAGTTGCCTTAGCCGCTGCCGCTGCCTTTGCCGTTGCTGGAGATTTTCCATTCCAAGGGATGATGGGCAGCTGCCACAGGTCCTTGATGCAGCTGCTCTTCTCCTCCAAATCCCACAGCAGCAACTTCCCAAGCTTTGCACGGCAGCTGGTTGGGCCGAACGTGACTTTGGCCTTGCTTTTCTGCAGCCGGCGCACAGAGAGGAGGTTAGCGGATAAACCATCCACCAATAGAACATTCCCAAGTCCAACAAGTCCCCCATTGGCTCTCATCACCTTGGCATTCCCAACACCAATCACAGGGAGCAAAGCACCTTACGCGGCAGCCACAAACTTGATCTTCCCAGGGGGTTTCACCTCATCGAGCAAATCTGCCCGCGGAGTCATGTGACTCGTGCAACCAGAATCGATCACCCAGTGAGTTAGGGGGTGCATTACAACCTTCCCAACCGAACCCACATCATCCTGGAAAGCGGGAGAATGGGGCGGGGTGATGGAAGGAGGGAGAATGGGGCGGGGTGATGGAAAGCGGAAGATTGGGGCAGGGTGATGGAAAGCGGGAGATCGGGGCAGGGTGATGGAAAGCGGGAAAATGGGGCGGGGTGATGGAAAGCGGGAGAATGGGGCGGGATGATGGAAAGCGAGAGAATGGGGCGGGGTGATGGAAGGAGGGAGAATGGGGCGGGGTGATGGAAGGAGGGAGAAGGGGGCGGGGTGATGGAAAGCGGGAGAATGGGGCGGGGTGATGGAAAGCGGGAGAATGGGGCGGGGTGATGGAAGGAGGGAGAATGGGGCGGGGTGATGGAAGGAGGGAGAAGGGGGCGGGATGATGGAAAGCGGGAGAAGTGGGCGGGGTGATGGAAAGCGGGAGAATGGGGCGGGGTGATGGAAAGCGGGAGAATGGGGCGGGGTGATGGAAAGTGGGAGAATGGGGCGGGCTGATGGAAAGCGGGAGAATGGGGCGGGGTGATGGAAGGAGGGAGAATGGGGCGGGGTGATGGAAGGAAGGAGAATGGGACGGGGTGATGGAAAGCCGGAGAATGTGGCGGGGTGATGGAAAGCGGGAGAATGGGGTGGGGTTATGGGAAGCGGGAGAATGGGGCGGGGTGATGGAAAGCGGGAGAATGGGGCGGGGTGATGGAAGGAGGGAGAATGGGGCGGGGTGATGGAAGGAGGGAGAATGGGGCGGGATGATGGAAAGCGGGAGAATGGGGCGGGGTGATGGAAGGAGGGAGAATGGGGCGGGGTGATGGAAAGCGGGAGAATGGGGCGGGGTGATGGAAAGCGGGAGAATGGGGCGGGGTGATGGAAGGAGGGAGAATGGGGCGGGGTGATGGAAGGAGGAAGAATGGGGCGGGATGATGGAAAGCGGGAGAATGGGGCGGGGAGATGGAAGGAGGGAGAATGGGGCGGGGTGATGGAAAGCGGGAGAACGGGGCGGGGTGATGGAAAGCGGGAGAATGGGGCGGGGTGATGGAAAGCGGGAGAATGGGGCGGGGTGATGGAAAGCGGAAGATTGGGGCAGGGTGATGGAAAGCGGGAGAATGGGGCAGGGTGATGGAAAGCGGGAAAATGGGGCGGGGTGATGGAAAGCGGGAGAATGGGGCTGGGTGATGGAAAGCGGGAGAATGGGGCGGGGAGATGGAAAGCGGGAGAAAGGGGCGGGTTGATGGAAAGCGGGAGAATGGGGCGGGGTGATGGAAAGCGGGAGAATGGGGCGGGGTGATGGAAAGCGGGAGAATGGGGCGGGGTGATGGAAAACGAGAGAATGGGGCGGGGTGATGGAAAGCGGGAGAATGGGGCGGGGTGATGGAAAGAGGGAGAATGGGGCGGGGTGATGGAAAGCGGAAGATTGGGGCAGGGTGATGGAAAGCGGGAGATTGGGGCGGGGTGATGGAAAGCGGGAAAATGGGGCGGGGTGATGGAAAGCGGGAGAATGGGGCGGGGTGATGGAAAGCGGGTGAATGGGGCGGGTGATGGAAGGAGGGAGAATGGGGCGGGGTGATGGAAAGCGGGGGATTGGGGAAGGGTGATGGAAAGCGGGAGAACGGGGCGGGGTGATGGAAAGCGGGAAAATGGGGCGGGGTGTTGGAAAGCGGGAGAATGGGGCTGGGTGATGGAAAGCGGGAGAATGGGGCGGGGTGATGGAAAGCGGGAGAATGGGGCGGGGTGATGGAAGGAGGGAGAATGGGGCGGGGTGATGGAAGGAGGGAGAATGGGACGGGGTGATGGAAAGCGGGAGAATGGGGCGGGGTGATGGAAGGAGGGAGAATGGGGCGGGGTGATGGAAAGCGGGAGAATGGGGCGGGGTGATGGAAAGCGGGAGAATGGGGCGGGGTGATGGAAAGCGGGAGAATGAGGCTGGGTGATGGAAAGCGGGAGAATGGGGCGGGGTGATGGAAAGCGGGAGAATGGGGCGGGGGGATGGAAAGCGGGAGAATGGGGCGGGGTGATGGAAAGCGGGAGAATGGGCGGGGTGATGGAAAGCGGGAGAATGGGGAGGGTGATGGAAAGCGGGTGAATGGGGCAGGGTGATGGAAAGCGGGAGATTGGGGCGGGGTGATGGAAAGCAAAAGATTGAGGCGGGGTGATGGAAAGCGGGAGAATGGGGCAGGTGATGGAAAGCGGGAGAATGGGGCGGGGTGATGGAAGGAGGGAGAATGGGGAGGGGTGATGGAAAGCGGGGAAAAGGGGCGGGATGATGGGAAGCGGAAGAATGGGGCGGGGTGATGGAAAGCGGGAGAATGGGGCGGGGTGATGGAAAGCGGGAGAATGGGGCGGGGAGATGGAAAGCGGGAGAAAGGGGCGGGGTGATGGAAAGCGGGAGAATGGGGCGGGCTGATGGAAAGCAGGAGAATGGGGCGGGGTGATGGAAGGAAGGAGAATGGGGCGGGGTGATGGAAGGAGAGAGAAGGGGGCGGGGTGATGGAAAGTGGGAAAATGTGGCGGGGTGATGGAAAGCAGGAGAATGGGGTGGGGTTATGGGAAGCAGGAGAATGGGGCGGGGTGATGGAAAGCGGGAGAATGGGGCGGGGTGATGGAATGAGGGAGAATGGGGCGGGGTGATGGAAAGCGGGAGAATGGGGCGGGGTGATGGAAGGAGGAAGAATGGGCTGGGGTGATGGAAAGCGGGAGAATGGGGCGGGGTGATGGAAAGCGGGAGAATGGGGCGGGGTGATGGAAAGCAAGAGAATGGGGCGGGGTGATGGAAGGAGGGAGAATGGGGAGGGGTGATGGAAAGGGGGGGAATGGGGCGGGATGATGGGAAGCGGAAGAATGGGGCGGGGTGATGGAGAGCGGGAGAATGGGGCGGGGTGATGGAAAGCGGGAGAATGGGGCGGGGAGATGGAAAGTGGGAGAAAGGGGAGGGGTGATGGAAAGCGGGAGAATGGGACGGGCTGATGGAAAGCGGGAGAATGGGGCGGGGTGATGGAAGGAGGGAGAATGGGGCGGGGTGATGGAAGGAGAGAGAAGGGGGTGGGGTGATGGAAAGTGGGAGAATGTGGCGGGGTGATGGAAAGCGGGAGAATAGGGTGGGGTTATGGGAAGCGGGAGAATGGGGCGGGGTGATGGAAAGCGGGAGAATGGGGCAGGGTGATGGAAGGAGGGAGAATGGGGTGGGGTGATGGAAGGAGGGAGAATGGGGCGGAGTGATGGAAAGCGGGAGAATGGGGCGGGGTGATGGAAGGAGGGAGAATGGGGCGGGATGATGGAAAGCGGGAGAATGGGGCGGGGTGATGGAAAGCGGGGAATGGGGCAGGGTGATGGAAGGAGGGAGAATGGGGCGAGGTGATAAAAAGCAGGAGAATGTGGCGGGGTGATGGAAAGCGGGAGACGGGGGTGGGGTTATGGGAAGCGGGAGAATGGGGCGGGCTGATGGAAAGCGGGAGAATGGGGCGGGGTGATGGAAGGAGGGAGAATGGGGCGGGGTGATGGAAGGAGGGAGAACGGGACGGGGTGATGGAAAGCGGGAGAATGGGGCGGGGTGATGGAAGGAGGGAGAATGGGGCGGGATGATGGAAAGCGGGAGAATGGGGCGGGGTGATGGAAAGCGGGAGAATGGGGCGGGGTGATGGAAAGCGGGAGAATGAGGCTGGTTGATGGAAAGCGGGAGAATGGGGCGGGGTGATGGAAAGCGGGAGAATGGGGCGGGGTGATGGAAGGAGGGAGAATGGGGTGGGGTGATGGAAAGCGGGAGATTGGGGCAGGGTGATGGAAAGCGGGAGAATGGGGCGGGGTGATGGAAAGCGGGAAAATGGGGCGGGGTGATGGAAAGCGGGAGAATGGGGCTGGGTGATGGAAAGAGGGAGAATGGGGCGGGGTGATGGAAAGCGGGAGAATGGGGCTGGGTGAGTGAAAGCGGGAGAATGGGTCGGGGTGATGGAAAGCGGGAGAATGGGGCGGGCTGATGGAAAGCGGGAGAATGGGGCGGGTTGATGGAAGGAGGGAGAATGGGGCGGGGTGATGGAAGGAGAGAGAAGGGGGCGGGGTGATGGAAAGTGGGAAAATGTGGCGGGGTGATGGAAAGAGAGAGAATGTGGTGGGGTTATGGGAAGCCGGAGAATGGGGCGGGGTGATGGAAAGCGGGAGAATGGGGCAGGGTGATGGAATGAGGGAGAATGGGGCAGGGTGATTGAAGGAGGGAAATGGGGCGGGGTGATGGAAAGCGGGAGAATGGGGCAGGGTGATGCAAGGAGGGAGAATGGGGCGGGGTGATGGAAAGCGGGAGAATGGGTCGGGGTGATGGAAAGCGGGAGAATGGGGCGGGGTGATGGAAAGCGAGAGAATGGGGCGGGGTGATGGAAGGAGGGAGAATGGGGAGGGGTGATGGAAAGCGGGAGAATGGGGCGGGATGATGGGAAGCGGAAGAATGGGGCGGGGTGATGGAAAGCAGGAGAATGGGGCGGGGTGATGGAAAGCGGGAGAATGGGGCATGGAGATGGAAAGCGGGAGAATGGGGCTGGGTGATGGAAAGCGGGAGAATGGGGCGGGCTGATGGAAAGCGGGAGAATGGGGCAGGGTGATGGAAGGAGGGAGAATGGGGCGGGGTGATGGAAGGAGAGAGAAGGGAGCGGGGTGATAGAAAGTGGGAGAATGTGGCGGGGTGATGGAAAGCGGGAGAATGGGGTGGGATTATGGGAAGCGGGAGAATGAGGCGGGGTGATGGACAGCGGGAGAATGGGGCGGGGTGATGGAAGGAGTGAGAATGGGGCGGGGTGATGGAAGGAGGGATAATGGGGCGGAGTGATGGAAAGCGGGAGAATGGGGCGGGGTGATGGAAAGCCGGAGAATGGGGCGGGGTGATGGAAAGCGAGAGAATGGGGCGGGGTGATGGAAGGAGGGAGAATGGGGAGGGGTGATGGAAAGCGGGGGAATGGGGCGTAATGATGGGAAGCGGAAGAATGGGGTGGGGTGATGGAAGGAGGGAGAATGGGGCGGGATGATGGAAAGCGGGAGAATGGGGCGGGGTGATGGAAAGCGGGAGAATGGGGCGGGGTGATGGAAAGCGGGAGAATGGGGCGGAGTGATGGAAGGAGGGAGAATGGGGCGGGGTGATAGAAAGCGGGAGAATGTGGCGGGGTGATGGAAAGCGGGAGAATGGAGTGGGGTTATGGGAAGCGGGAGAATGGGGCGGGGTGATGGAAAGCGGGAGAATGGGGCGGGGTGATGGAAGGAGGGAGAATGGGGCGGGGTGATGGAAAGCGGGAGAATGGGGCGGGCTGATGGAAAGCAGGAGAATGGGGCGGGGTGATGGAAGGAGGGAGAATGGGGCGGGGTGATGGAAGGAGAGAGAAGGGGGCGGGGTGACGGAAAGTGGGAAAATTTGGCGGGGTGATGGAAAGCGGGAGAATGGGGTGGGGTTATGGGAAGCGGGAGAATGGGGAGGGGTGATGGAAAGCGGGAGAATGGGGCGGGGTGATGGAATGAGGGAGAATGGGGCGGGGTGATGGAAGGAGGGAGAATGGGGCGGGGTGATGGAAAGCCAGAGAATGGGGCGGGGTGATGGAAGGAGGAAGAATGGGCTGGGGTGATGGAAAGCGGGAGAATGGGGCGGGGTGATGGAAAGCGGGAGAATGGGGCGGGGTGATGGAAAGCGAGAGAATGGGGCGGGGTGATGGAAGGAGGGAGAATGGGGAGGGGTGATGGAAAGCGGGGGAATGGGGCGGGATGATGGGAAGCGGAAGAATGGGGCGGGGTGATAGAAAGCGGGAGAATGGGGCGGGGTGATGGAAAGCGGGAGAATGGGGCGGGGTGATGGAAGAAGGGAGAATGGGGCGGGGTGATGGAAGGACGGAGAATGGGGCAGGATGATGGGACGCAGGAGAATGGGGCGGGGTGATGGAAGGAGGGAGAATGGGGCGGGGTGATGGAAAGCGGGAGAATGGGGCGGGGTGATGGAAAGCGGGAGAATGGGGCATGGTGATGGAAAGCGGGAGAATGGGGCGGGGTGATGGAAAGCGGGAGAATGGGGTGGGGTGATGGAAGGAGGGAGAATGGGGCGGGGTGATGGAAGGAGGGAGAAGGGGGCGGGATGATGGAAATTGGGAGAATGGGTCGGGGTGATGGAAAGCGGGAGAATGGGGCGGAGTGATGGAAAGCGGGAGAATGAGGCGGGGTGATGGAAAGCGGGAGAATGGGGCGGGGGGGGGGTGGAAAGCGGGAGAATGGGGCGGGGTGATGGAAAGCGGGAGAATGGGCGGGGTGATGGAAAGCGGGAGAATGGGGCGGGTGATGGAAAGCGGGTGAATGGGGCAGGGTGATGGAAAGCGGGAGATTGGGGCGGGGTGATGGAAAGCAAAAGATTGAGGCGGGGTGATGGAAAGCGGGGAATGGGGCGGGTGATGGAAAGCGGGAGAATGGGGCGGGGTGATGGAAGGAGGGAGAGTGGGGAGGGGTGATGGAAAGCGGGGAAAAGGGGCGGGATGATGGGAAGCGGAAGAATGGGGCGGGGTGATGGAAAGCGGGAGAATGGGGCGGTGTGATGGAAAGCGGGAGAATGGGGCGGGGTGATGGAAGGAGGGAGAATGGGGTTCGGTGATGGAAAGCGGGAGATTGGGGCAGGGTGATGGAAAGCGGGAGAATGGGGCGGGGTGATGGAAAGCGGGAAAATGGGGCGGGGTGATGGAAAGCGGGAGAATGGGGCTGGGTGATGGAAAGCGGGAGAATGGGGCGGGGTGATGGAAAGCGGGAGAATGGGGCTGGGTGAGTGAAAGCGGGAGAACGGGGCGGGGTGATGGAAAGCGGGAGAATGGGGCAGGGAGATGGAAAGCTGGAGAAAGGGGCGGGGTGATGGAAAGCGGGAGAATGGGGCGGGCTGATGGAAAGCGGTAGAATGGGGCGGGTTGATGGAAGGAGGGAGAATGGGGCGGGGTGATGGAAGGAGAGAGAAGGGGGCGGGGTGATGGAAAGTGGGAAAATGTGGCGGGGTGATGGAAAGAGGGAGAATGGGGTGGGGTTATGGGAAGCCGGAGAATGGGGCGGGGTGATGGAAAGCGGGAGAATGGGGCAGGGTGATGGAATGAGGGAGAATGGGGCAGGGTGATTGAAGGAGGGAGAATGGGGCGGGGTGATGGAAAGCGGGAGAATGGGGCGGGGTGATGGAAGGAGGGAGAATGGGGCGGGGTGATGGAAAGCGGGAGAATGGGTCGGGGTGATGGAAAGCGGGAGAATGGGGCGGGGTGATGGAAAGCGAGAGAATGGGGCGGGGTGATGGAAGGAGGGAGAATGGGGAGGGGTGATGGAAAGCGGGAGAATGTGGCGGGATGATGGGAAGCGGAAGAATGGGGCGGGGTGATGGAAAGCAGGAGAATGGGGCGGGGTGATGGAAAGCGGGAGAATGGGGCGGGGAGATGGAAAGCGGGAGAAAGGGGAGGGGTGATGGAAAGCGGGAGAATGGGGCGGGCTGATGGAAAGCGGGAGAATGGGGCAGGGTGATGGAAGGAGGGAGAACGGGGCGGGGTGATGGAAGGAGAGAGAAGGGGGCGGGGTGATAGAAAGTGGGAGAATGTGGCGGGATGATGGAAAGCGGGAGAATGGGGTGGGGTTATGGGAAGCGGGAGAATGAGGCGGGGTGATGGACAGCGGGAGAATGGGGCGGGGTGATGGAAGGAGTGAGAATGGGGCGGGGTGATGGAAGGAGGGATAATGGGGCGGAGTGATGGAAAGCGGGAGAATGGGGTGGGGTGATGGAAAGCCGGAGAATGGGGCGGGGTGATGGAAAGCGAGAGAATGGGGCGGGGTGATGGAAGGAGGGAGAATGGGGAGGGGTGATGGAAAGCGGGGGAATGGGGCGTAATGATGGGAAGCGGAAGAATGGGGTGGGGTGATTGAAGGAGGGAGAATGGGGCGGGATGATGGAAAGCGGGAGAATGGGGCGGGGTGATGGAAAGCGGGAGAATAGGGCGGGGTGATGGAAAGCGGGAGAATGGGGCGGGGTGATGGAAATCGGGAGAATGGGGCGGGGTGATGGAAGGCGGGAGAATGGGGCGGGGTGATGGAAGGAGGGAGAATGGGGCGCGGTGATAGAAAGCGGGAGAATGTGGCGGGGTGATGGAAAGCGGGAGAATGGAGTGGGGTTATGGGAAGCGGGAGAATGGGGCGGGATGATGGACAGCGGGAGAATGGGGCGGGGTGATGGAAGGAGGGAGAATGGGGCGGGGTGATGGAAAGCGGGAGAATGGGGCGGGCTGATGGAAAGCAGGAGAATGGGGCGGGGTGATGGAAGGAGGGAGAATGGGGCGGGGTGATGGAAGGAGAGAGAAGGGGGCGGGGTGACGGAAACTGGGAAAATTTGGCGGGGTGATGGAAAGCAGGAGAATGGGGTGGGGTTATGGGAAGCGGGAGAATGGGGCGGGGTGATGGAAAGCGGGAGAATGGGGCGGGGTGATGGAATGAGGGAGAATGGGGCGGGGTGATGGAAGGAGGGAGAATGGGGCAGGGTGATGGAAAGCCGGAGAATGGGGCGGGGTGATGGAAGGAGGAAGAATGGGCTGGGGTGATGGAAAGCGGGAGAATGGGGCGGGGTGATAGAAAGCGGGAGAATGGGGCGGGGTGATGGAAAGCGAGAGAATGGGGCGGGGTGATGGAAGGAGGGAGAATGGGGAGGGGTGATGGAAAGCGGGGGAATGGGGCGGGATGATGGGAAGCGGAAGAATGGGGCGGGGTGATGGAAAGCGGGAGAATGGGGCGGGGTGATGGAAAGCGGGAGAATGGGGCGGGGAGATGGAAAGTGGGAGAAATGGGAGGGGTGATAGAAAGCGGGAGAACGGGGCGGGCTGATGGAAAGCGGGAGAATAGGGCGGGGTGATGGAAGGAGGGAGAATGGGGCGGGGTGATGGAAGGAGAGAGAAGGGGGCGGGGTGATGGAAAGTGGTAGAATGTGGCGGGGTGATGGAAAGCGGGAGAATACGGTGGGGTTATGGGAAGCGGGAGAATGGGGCGGGGTGATGAAAAGCGGGAGAATGGGGCGGGGTGATGGAAGGGGGGAGAATGGGGCGGGGTGATGGAAGGAGGGAGAATGGGGCGGAGTGATGGAAAGCGGGAGAATGGGGCGGGGTGATGGAAGGAGGGAGAATGGGGCGGGATGATGGAAAGCGGGAGAATGGGGCGGGGTGATGGAAAGCGGGAGAATGGGGCGGGGTGATGGAAGGAGGGAGAATAGGGCGGGGTGATAGAAAGCGGGAGAATGTGGTGGGGTGATGGAAAGCGGGAGAAGGGGGTGGGGTTATGGGAAGCGGGAGAATGGGGCGGGGTGATGGAAAGCGGGAGAATGGGGCAGGGTGATGGAATGAGGGAGAATAAGGCGGGGTGATGGAAGGAGGGAGAATGGGACGGGGTGATGGAAAGCGGGAGAATGGGGCGGGGAGATGGAAGGAGGGAGAATGGGGCGGGGTGATGGAAAGCGGGAGAATGGGGCGGGGTGATGGAAAGCAGGAGAATGGGGCAGGGTAATGGAAAGCGGGAGAATGAGGCTGGGTGATGGAAAGCGGGAGAATGGGGCGGGGTGATGGAAAGCGGGAGAATGGGGCGGGGTGATAGAAGGAGGGAGAATGGGGTGGGGTGATGGAAAGCGGGAGATTGGGGCAGGGTGATGGAAAGCGGGAGAATGGGGCGGGGTGATGGAAAGCGGGAAAATGGGGCGGGGTGATGGAAAGCGGGAGAATGGTGCGGGTGATGGAAAGCGGGAGAATGGGGTGGGGTGATGGAAAGCGGGAGAATGGGGCTGGGTGATGGAAAGCGGGAGAATGGGGCGGGGTGATGGAAAGCGGGAGAATGGGGCAGGGAGATGGAAAGCGGGAGAAAGGGGCGGGGTAATGGAAAGCGGGAGAATGGGGCGGGCTGATGGAAAGCGGGAGAATGGGGCGGGTTGATGGAAGGAGGGAGAATGGGGCGAGGTGATGGAAGGAGAGAGAAGGGGGCGGGGTGATGGAAAGTGGGAAAATGTGGCGGGGTGATGGAAAGCGGGAGAATGGGGTGGGGTTATGGGAAGCGGGAGAATGGGGCGGGGTGATGGAAAGCGGGAGAATGGGGCAGGGTGATGGAATGAGGGAGAATGGGGCGGGGTGATGGAAGGAGGGAGAATGGGGCGGGGTGATGGAAAGCGGGAGAATGGGGCGGGGTGATGGAAGGAGGAAGAATGGGGCGGGGTGATGGAAAGCGGGAGAATGGGGCGGGGTGATGGAAAGCGGGAGAATGGGGCGGGGTGATGGAAAGCGAGAGAATGGGGCGGGGTGATGGAAGGAGGGAGAATGGGGAGGGGTGATGGAAAGCGGGGGAATGGGGCGGGATGATGGGAAGCGGAAGAATGGGGCGGGGTGATGGAAAGCAGGAGAATGGGGCGGGGTGATGGAAAGCGGGAGAATGGGGCGGGGAGATGGAAAGTGGGAGAAAGGGGAGGGGTGATGGAAAGAGGGAGAATGGGGCAGGCTGATGGAAAGCGGGAGAATGGGGCGGGGTGATGGAAGGAGGGAGAATGGGGCGGGGTGATGGAAGGAGAGAGAAGGGGGCGGGGTGATAGAAAGTGGGAGAATGTGGCGGGGTGATGGAAAGCGGGAGAATAGGGTGGGGTTATGGGAAGCGGGAGAATGGGGCGGGGTGATGGAAAGCGGGAGAATGGGGCGGGGTGATGGAAGGAGGGAGAATGGGGCGGGGTGATGGAAGGAGGGAGAATGGGGCGGAGTGATGGAAAGCGTTAGAATGGGGCGGGGTGATGGAAGGAGGGAGAATGGGGCGGGATGATGGAAAGCGGGAGAATGGGGCGGGGTGATGGAAAGCGGGAGAATGGGGCGGGGTGATGGAAGGAGGGAGAATGGGGCGGGGTGATAGAAAGCAGGAGAATGTGGCGGGGTGATGGAAAGCGGGAGAAGGGGGTGGGGTTATGGGAAGCGAGAGAATGGGGCGGGGTGATGGAAGGAGGGAGAATGGGGCGGGGTGATGGAAGGAGGGAGAATGGGACGGGGTGATGGAAAGCGGGAGAATGGGGCGGGGTGATGGAAGGAGGGAGAATGGGGCGGGGTGATGGAAAGCGGGAGAATGGGGCGGGGTGATGGAAAGCGGGAAAATGGGGCGGGGTGATGGAAAGCGGGAGAATGGGGCTGGGTGATGGAAAGCGGGAGAATGGGGCGGGGTGATGGAAAGCGGGAGAATGGGGCAGGGAGATGGAAAGCAGGAGAAAGGGGCGGGGTGATGGAAAGCGGGAGAATGGGGCGGGCTGATGGAAAGCGGGAGAATGGGGCGGGTTGACGGAAGGAGGGAGAATGGGGTGGGGTGATGGAAGGAGAGAGAAGGGGGCGGGGTGATGGAAAGTGGGAAAATGTGGCGGGGTGATGGAAAGCGGGAGAATGGGGTGGGGTTATGGGAAGCGGGAGAATGGAGCGGGGTGATGGAAAGTGGGAGAATGGAGCAGGGTGATGGAATGAGGCAGAATGGGGCGGGGTGATGGAAGGAGGGAGAATGGGGCGGGGTGATGGAAAGTGGGAGAATGGGGCGGGGTGATGGAAGGAGGGAGAATGGGGCGGGGTGATGGAAAGCGGGAGAATGGGTCGGGGTGATGGAAAGCGGGAGAATGGGGCGGGGTGATGGAAAGCGAGAGAATGGGGCGGGGTGATGGAAGGAGGGAGAATGGGGAGGGTGATGGAAAGCGGGGGAATGGGGCGGGATGATGGGAAGCGGAAGAATGGGGCGGGGTGATGGAAAGCAGGAGAATGGGGCGGGGTGATGGAAAGCGGGAGAATGGGGCGGGCTGATGGAAAGCGGGAGAATAGGGCAGGGTGATGGAAGGAGGGAGAATGGGGCGGGGTGATGGAAGGAGAGAGAAGGGGGCAGGGTGATAGAAAGTGGGAGAATGTGGCGGGGTGATGGAAAGCGGGAGAATGGGGTGGGGTTATGGGAAGCGGAAGAATGAGGCGGGGTGATGGAAAGCGGGAGAATGGGGCGGGGTGATGGAAGTAGGGAGAATGGGGCGGGGTGATGGAAGGAGGGATAATGGGGCGGAGTGATAGAAAGCGAGAGAATGGGGCGGGGTGATGGAAAGCGGGAGAATGGGGTGGGGTGATGGAAAGCGAGAGAATGGGGCGGGGTGATGGAAGGAGGGAGAATGGGGAGGGGTGATGGAAAGCGGTGGAATGGGGCGGGATGATGGGAAGCGGAAGAATGGGGCGGGGTGATGGAAGGAGGGAGAATGGGGCGGGATGATGGAAAGCGGGAGAATGGGGCGGGGTGATGGAAAGCGGGAGAATGGGGCGGGGTGATGGAAAGCGGGAGAATGGGGCGGGGTGATGGAAATCGGGAGAATGGGGCGGGGTGATGGAAAGCGGGAGAATGGGGCGGGGTGATGGAAGGAGGGAGAATGGGGCGGGGTGATAGAAAGCGGGAGATTGTGGCGGGGTGATGGAAAGCGGGAGAATGGGGTGGGGTTATGGGAAGCGGGAGAATGGGGCGGGGTGATGGAAAGCGGGAGAATGGGGCGGGGTGATGGAAGGAGGGAGAATGGGGCGGGGTGATGGAAGGGGGGAAAATGGGGCGGGGTGATGGAAAGCGGGGGAATGGGGCGGGGTGATGGAAGGAGGGAGAATGGGGAGGGGTGATGGAAAGCGGTGGAATGGGGCGGGATGATGGGAAGCGGAAGAATGGGGCGGGGTGATGGAAAGCGGGAGAATGGGGCGGGGTGATGGAAAGCGGGAGAATGGGGCGGGGTGATGGAAAGCGGGAGAATGGGGCGGGGTGATGGAAAGCGGGAGAATGGGGCGGGCTGATGGAAAGCGGGAGAATGGGGCGGGGTGATGGAAGGATGGAGAATGGGGCGGGGTGATGGAAGGAGAGAGAAGGGGGCGGGGTGATGGAAAGTGGGAAAATGTGGCGGGGTGATGGAAAGCGGGAGAATGGGGTGGGGTTATGGGAAGCGGGAGAATGGGGCGGGGTGATGGAAAGCGGGAGAATGGGGCGGGGTAATTGAATGAGGGAGAATGGGGCGGGGTGATGGAAGAAAGGAGAATGGGGCGGGGTGATGGAAAGCGGGAGAATGGGGCGGGGTGATGGAAGGAGGGAGAATGGGGCGAAGTGATGGAAAGCGGGAGAATGGGGCGGCGTGATGGAAAGCGGGAGAATGGGGCGGGGTGATGGAAAGCGAGAGAATGGGGCAGGGTGATGGAAGGAGGGAGAATGGGGAGGGGTGATGGAAAGCGGAGGAATGGGGAGGGATGATGGGAAGCGGAAGAATGGGGCGGGGTGATGGAAAGCGGGAGAATGGGGCGGGGTGATGGAAAACGGGAGAATGGGGCGGGGAGATGGAAAGCGGAAGAATGGGGTGGGGTTATGGGAAGCAGGAGATTGGGGCGGGGTGAAGGAAAGCGGGAGAATGGGGCGGGGTGATGGAAGGAGGGAGAATGGGGCGGGGTGATGGAAGGAGGGAGAATGGGGCGGAGTGATGGAAAGCGGGAGAATGGGGCGGGGTGATGGAAGGAGGGAGAATGGGGCAGGGTGATGAAAGGAGGGAGAATGGGGCGGGGTGATGGAAAGCGGGAGAATGGGGCGGGGTGATGGAAAGCAGAAGAATGGGGCCGGGTTATGGAAAGCGGGAGAATGGGGCGAGGTGATAGAAAGCGGGAGAATGGGGCGGGTGATGGAAAGCGGAAGAATGGGGCGGGGTGATGGAAGGAGGGAGAATGGGGAGGGGTGATGGAAAGCGGTGGAATGGGGCAGGATGATGGGAAACGGAAGAATGGGGCGGGGTGATGGAAAGCGGGAGAATGGGGCGGGGTGATGGAAAGCGGGAGAATGGGGCGGGGAGATGGAAAGCGGGAGAAAGGGGCGGGATGATGGAAAGCGGGAGAATGGGGCGGGCTGATGGAAAGCGGGAGAATGGGGCGGGGTGATGGAAGGAGGGAGAATGGGGCGGGGTGATGGAAGGAGAGAGAAGGGGGCGGGGTGATGGAAAGTGGGAAAATGTGGCGGGGTGATGGAAAGCAGGAGAATGGGGTGGGGTTATGGGAAGCGGGAGAATGGGGCTGGGTGATGGAAAGCGGGAGAATGGGGCGGGGTGATGGAAAGAGGGAGAATGGGGCGGGGTGATGGAAGGAGGGAGAATGGGGCGGGATGATGGAAAGCGGGAGAATGGGGCGGGGTGATGGAAGGAGGGAGAATGGGGCGGGGTGATGGATAGTGGGAGAATGGGGCGGCGTGATGGAAAGCGGGAGAATGGGGCGGGGTGATGGAAAGCGAGAGAATGGGGCGGGGTGATTGAAGGAGGGAGAATGGGGAGGGGTGATGGAAAGCGGGGGAATGTGGCGAGATGATGGGAAGCGGAAGAATGGGGCGGGGTGATGGAAAGCGGGAGAATGGGGCGGGGTGATGGAAAGCGGGAGAATGGGGCGGGGAGATGGAAAGCGGGAAAAAGGGGAGGAGTGATGGAAAGCGGGAGAATGGGGCGGGGTGATGGAAAGCAGGAGAATGGGGCGGGGTGATGGAATGAGGGAGAATGGGGCGGGGTGATCGAAGGAGAGAGAAGGGGGCGGGGTGATGGAAAGTGGGAGAATGTGGCGGGGTGATGGAAAGCGGGAGAATGGGGTGGGGTTATGGGAAGCGGGAGAATGAGGCGGGGTGATGGAAAGCAGGAGAATGGGGCGGGGTGATGGAAGGAGGGAGAATGGGGCGGGGTGATGGAAGGAGGGATAATGGGGCGGAGTGATGGAAAGCGGGAAAATGGGGCGGGGTGATGGAAAGCGGGAGAATGGGGCGGGGTGATGGAAAGCGAGAGAATGGGGCAGGGTGATGGAAGGAGGGAGAATGGGGAGGGGTGATGGAAAGCGGGGGAATGGGGCGGGATGATGGGAAGCGGAAGAATGGGGCGGGGTGATGGAAGGAGGGAGAATGGGGCGGGATGATGGAAAGAGGGAGAATGGGGCGGGGTGATGGAAAGCGGGAGAATGGGGCGGGGTGATGGAAAGCGGGAGAATGGGGCGGGGTGATGGAAATCGGGAGAATGGGGCGGGGTGATGGAAAGCGGGAGAATGGGGCGGGGTGATGGAAGGAGGGAGAATGGGGCGGGGTGATAGAAAGCGGGAGAATGTGGCGGGGTGATGGAAAGCGGGGAGAATGGGGTGGGGTTAAGGGAAGCGGGAGAATGGGGCGGGGTGATGGAAAGCAGGAGAATGGGGCGAGGTGATGGAAGGAGGGAGAATGGGGCGGGGTGATGGAAGGAGGGAGAATGGGGCGGAGTGATGGAAAGCGGGAGAATGGGACGGGGTGATGGAAGGTGGGAGAATGGGGCGGGGTGATGGAAGGAGGGAGAATGGGGCGGGATGATGGAAAGCGGGAGAATGGGGCGGGGTGATGGAAGGAGGGAGAATGGGGCGGGGTGATGGAAAGCGGGAGAATGGGGCGGGGTGATGGAAAGCGGGAGAATGGGGCGGGGTGATGGAAAGCGGGAGAATGGGGCGGGGTGATGGAAAGCGGGAGAATGGGCGGGTGAGGAGTGGGGCGGGGTGATGTGAAGGAGGGAGAATGGGCGGGGTGATGGAAAGCGGAAGATTGGGGCAGGGTGATGGAAAGCGGGAGATTGGGGCAGGGTGATGGAAGCGGGAAAATGGGGCGGGGTGATGGAAAGCGGGACAATGGGGGCGGGATGATGGAAAGCGGGAGAATGGGGCGGGTGATGGAAGGAGGGAGAATGGGGCGGGGTGATGGAAGGAGGGAGAAGGGGGCGGGGTGATGGAAAG